CTCAGGTCAAGAATTAGAGCTGCTGGACTGGCACAGGTGCTGTGCTTGACTAGTTTTCAGTTTGATTCGTTTCCAAACGTTGACCCCGGATCATGTACAGTACCCATTTATGATCGTTTATGTACCCGGATATCCCTTTTTTTGAGGTGTGTCCCATTACCAGTAACAGTTCGGTAAAATTTACAATCATTGCTTTGGGGAAACAACATCATCCACCAAACGCCAACCAACCTGGGTTTCTGGGATACCCTGGCTCCTCATAGCCCCTGGTCAGGTTCCGGCCTTTCTGGTCATTGTCACCGCGTATTGGCTCATTCATTACCTCTTCGCTTCACAGGACAAGAAAAAGCGAGTCGAAAACGGTCGAAAGTAGCAACGGACTCGAGCTTCACGGATGATGTCGCCTCACCTGACAGGTTGCACATGTCTCGGCCTTGTTCCAGCCGTTTTTGGTCATGTTAGTCCTTGCCTCAGACCAACCAACCAAACGACGTTTCGACCTGTTTCGACCTGTTTCGTGTTGCGGCGGATCGCTGCAGCGAAGCGCTGCGCGTGCGCGCGCGCGCGCGCGCCCGCGCGCGTGCTGTTCGAGGTCGAGACTGGAACTCCCGGGATCCCGGCCGTTTTCGCGTTGGCCTTTGTGTCCAACCTTTTCGCAACTCTGACGCCCTATGTCGCCGCCTGAGCATGGAAGGCGTATTTCAGGGGCAACACGAGGGGGGATTGAGGGGGACGGTTTGGACGGTCATTCCAGCTTCCATTGGGGGGTTGTAAGGCTACCAGCGCTAGTAGGGGCGTTAAGACGCCCGAAAGACCGAGATGAACCATCTAGTTTCCACATGTCATTCGTTTTGTGCCTGAAGAATCTGCCGAGCACGACAAACCAGACCATCCAACAAACAATAGCAGCCGGACGACTGCATGTACAACATTGTACAACACTGAGGCCTCTGCGCAGTCGGCGGTTCTGTTCGCTGGACATTACATTACTGCATTTGAATGGTACAAGGCGACCAATTCTTGCAATTTCCTTTCGACACGCACCCCTGAGCTTTCACCTCAGGCTGGCTTTGTTTATATGCTTGCCTACTACATACAATGGCTCGTAGTCGGAGCTGATCTCAGTGTTTTGTTGCTTCGCTTTCAACAGCTTCGGACTTTGTAGTAAGGTGCTGTGTGGTGGCGAATGATTGGACTTGTTTGACTGAAAAAGTGGTCAGAACACCATATCCTTTGCTGCCCAATTGCGGCTCCCAAGCTTTGATAATCTTCTCCAGATGTGCGAAATCGTCGGAGCAACTTTTCTGGCGCAAAGAACGATCGCACGTCCAGCACCATTTGGATGTGGCTCCACAAATTAACAGAGACCGTACAGCACCGAACCTGGAACTGAGTGGGCTTATTTTGGAGCCTATTTTGGAGCGACATCCATTAATATTTTGATTAAATTTGTGAACACTCTTGCGATCCTGTTCGGCCTGCAGTCAGAGTGACTGGGCCCATGGTGGCCCAATGGGGCCTGACGGACCTGGCTGGACATCTCTCCGTGGCACGCCGGAAAAGCCGTCTCCGATGGGTCGGTCAGTCTCCAATGGGTCGATCACCACTCGAACCGCTCGAACCGCAGATGATGACGAGCGCCGTGCTCGTTGGCCAGGTCCAACTCCGTGGATTTGATGTGCTTAGCCGACCAGCTGGGAGTTCCGTGGCCGCCGGCATGTCATGAGCTCGTTCTTTTTAAATTGGAGATGACATCTCACGTTTTTTTGGGTCAAAGCGAGTTTATTTATGTATTAATCAATTCACGTATCATTATGCTTGAGTGTACCCATATGCAATTGATTGTTGAGACTTTGGATATCTTTAGATAACAGGTAGCCCGCCTCGGAAACACATGCGCTGCTTGTAATATATGGGATTATACATATCCTCCCAGCGCCAGGCGACTTTTCGAATTTGCACAGCTTTGGGTGGCTAACCAACAGGACGAGACGGCTTTGTGGGTTAATCGCATGTTTGCAGGAAGCAGTTCAGGTGCCGATTCAATCGTGTGTGAAGTCATGTCCCTGGATGCCGCTCCTGCAGCTGTTTGAAGCCAGACGAACCCAACAACTCAGATACTTCAGTTGACCCAGGTGCACTTTTTGTTGACTGCATTTTCATGCATTTTCTTCCAAAGCAGTTGCGCTTCTATCGCATCAGTTAAAACTGCCAAAAGAACAAAAAACCATTGTCGAGCATTCAACTTCAGTCACATTCTACAAGACTGATTTTCTGGGTCAACCTTGACCTGACCCCTTCGAAACGGATGCTGCAAATATGGCTTAGCCATTCGGCCGGGCCTCCAGCTACCTGTTTTGGCATTTTGGCTTTCGATCTGAGCGGACCACGTCTGAGCATTTGGATAGCCGCTATCAGGATGGGCCATCATTCCTCTGCACTCTCCAGGCAATTGGTCCATTTAGCCTGGCGGGTGGGATGAGTTTTGTGAAAACCCGGTGACCGACCGTTTTTTTTGCTGTAACAGAATCAACCTTGTAAGGTCATGGTTACCAGGGCTGGGAAATCGGGCGGCGGGTTTTGGACTCACAGCCAGGGCTGTATTCGATGCTCAACGTCACGAAACGACCAACGTCACAAATTATGATGGGCGTCTCACCCCGGAACGCACGATTGGCTTCACGCTGCCTTCCAGGTTGGCCTGTGGGCCTGGCGTTCCCGGAGAGTTCGAGTTCTTGCCGTATACAAGGCCGAGCCTGGCCAGGATAGCTTTATGATAGACGGTCTAATGAACCACCTGCCCAAAAACATTGTGCACACCATTCTGATTGCTTGATCCATGACTATCGAAAAAATAACAGAAATAACTATATATATATATATGCTACCCCCCCCCCAAGTACCCCCGTTTTTCTTCAAGTGCAGATAGACCAGATGACTGCATTTTCATGTCACAGCAAAAAGACACTTGCATATGTATTGCGTAGGATGCACCAGATTTCAAATTGATGACAATAAAGAATGGGTACCTATATCATGACCGTATAAGAGATAGTGAGACATGCAGTATTGACAAGAGAAAAGCATTCACTCATTCAGCCAGTGAGATTTCAAAAATTCCTGTCTTCGGGGAGTTTGATATTTGGAAGCCCTATGATTTGAATGTTATTTCAGAAATCTGGGCGATTATACACTGTATTTAGTTCAGGCATGTCATGGAAACATATTCTTTAACAAAAAGTTTAACTTAAGTATATGCTATAAAAACTGATGCACTACACATAGCCAAGAAAGACTTAAAGAAGGCTAGGAAGATACTAGAGTTTGGAAGGGAGATTGGCAACTGGAGAGTTGAAAAGATGAGGATAAAATCTTCTTCTGGCTGGTATGCATGGAAACATAATGAGTTGATAAAAATGCCGGCGTACAAACATGAAAGTATTGAAGTAGAGGAGGAATGGAACACAGAAGAGATATGTAAACAAATAATCAGAAAGAAGAGGGTTATATAGGCACACATCTGGAGAAGATGGGCTACAAAACTCTATTTATAGTTCCTCAGAATATGTTGAAACAGGATATTGAATGTGAAGCGGTGACATTGAATGTGTTCCTTGGCATTGGCATTGATAAAACAAACAGCCTACCAAAGTATGATTATTCAGGGTTTGATGCAATAGTCTTTGATGAACTCTATATGTCTTCACCTTTTATATTGAACAAGATAAGGCAGTTTACCCTGAAGAATCCTAATAAAATTATCATTGCAGCAGGTGATGTCAAACAACTTCCAAGCATAGAGCCTTATACTAACTGTCAGAATGTTGAAGATTATGTTGGTAATTGTATTGACATAATATTTAAACATAACATCGTTTTAAAGATATGTAGGAGAGTAGGGGGCAAAGACACTGAAGCAGGTGAGAGGAACAGGAAGAAATTAGATGAGATATATGACCTCTGGATTAAAGACATGAAGATTTCAGATTGGGTAGCTAAGCATTTTAAGTTTACAACTGATATTATGGTGAGTGAAAACAACATAGCGTATACCAACATCAGATGCCAGGCTCTGGCAAATGAAGTCAGAAAGAGACTAGGCAAGAAAGATAAATATGAAGCAGGTGAGATTTTGATATGCAGACTTTACAGACATGAAACGGAAGGAACGTTTAATGTGAATATCAGGTGGACGATTTTAGAAGTGAAGGGTGGAATGATAAAGATACAGGACATTAAGGATTCATGAAGAAGAGAGAAAGTGGCAGACAAGCATTTTAGATATGCATACTGTGCTACCTGTCATAGTAGACAGGGGACATCAAAAAGTGGCAATATAACAATACATGAGTGGCAGAGAACAGAGTTGGTGAGCAAAGAGTGGCTGTGGTGTGCTATCACAAGAGCTAGAGATTTCAACAATGTATACTTCTTTAAGAATGAAAAAGCAGATGAGGAGATGTTTAAGAATTTGGTGTTGAATTATTTTAAGGGAAAATGTGAAGGATACAAAGGCCAAGATAGATCCAAACACAGAGAAGTTCCACAAATTTTTAAACGTTTTAAAACTTTTTTGGAACTAAGAACTAAGAACTAAGATTTCCCCACACTCTCCCACAGCAATCTTAATTCCAGAAAACATTGCCATACAATAGTTTCAAAAAAGTTTTAAAAGTTTTAAACTTTTCCGGAAGTAAGAACTAAGAACTAAGATTCCCCCAGACTCTCCAACAGCATTCTTAGTTCTTAGTTCTTAGTTCCCAAAAGTTTTAAAACTTTTAGAACTTTTTTGAAACTTTCTTGACCTTCAGATGTGGGAAGTAAGACTTGTCCCCAAGAGTTCTGTGCATTCTTAGTTCTTAGTTCTTAGTTCCCCAAAGTTTTAAAACTTTTAAAACTTTTTTGAAACTTTCTTGACCTTCAGATGTGGGAAGTAAGACTTGTCCCCAAGAGTTCAAACAATATATATGGTACCCCCCCCTGCACATCTGACACCAAGACATGAAACATGTCTTTACCTCCAAGTTTAGTGTGAACCACACAGAAATGGGGGTACATGGGGGGGCTATCCATGACTCAGTCAGACGGCTCGCTGGTGAACTGTTCCTGTTGCGAGTCGGTCCGACCTCGGACCCACTTGTGAGGTTGGAGCATGATTTGGCCTCTTCCTCACAGGAGTCCAAGAATCGCAAGACCGCACTTGCTGGCAAAGAGGCTCAAAGATTGAGTTGGAGAGGTGCAAAAGATTGAAGCCTGAAGCAACGCATACAGGCTCTACTGGCACGCCATCAACAACGGTTAAAAACTCGATCTGACTGCAGCTTCTTGATGGGGGCCTTGCGTCCATATCTCAGCAGAACAATATTCTGTGATTTCGATGAAAGGCTTTGTTCCTCCCAGGTGCAAGCAGCCTCTTCAAGAATGTTGGAAATGATCATCTTGAACGGCTAGTAGCCTGTGCCTGAACTAGTTCTGCTATTCAAACGATTTCAAACGCACATGTTTTGTCGTGTTTTGATGTGTTGGGCGTCCTCTACTCCAGGGCTCCCTGGAGTACTATGAGTTTCAGATGGGAGACACGATTCAGCAGGAAGGTTCCATGGAGTCCTCGTGCCCTGTTGGAAGAGGACAACGGTCCAGGACTCCACCAGGTGGTGTCCGAACTTCGCGGTTTTGGAGGTCCTCAATTCAGAGAGGATTCACGGTTTCATACGTTTTCTATCCTTTTCTATCTTTTTTTGGGGTTCACATGGGTTCACTATAGTAGCCAGAAACTGACCAGAACATGATTTCGATGCTTTTTTGATCTTTTTCCTACGTCAGTGCGTGCTTTCCTATGAGGTACATTTTCGTGGCCCATGGACCGGGACTGGACTTTGTGCTGCAAGGCGTCGTCGTTCTGAGCTCAGGGGCCGAACCAAACGATGTGTCGTGCTCGATAATCGGCACGCATGCCGAACCGCATGCCGAACAATGTAGACTCTTGGATGGTCATGTAGACTCTTGATGAGATTTCATCCATTTTCATCCCCCCATATGACGAGGTGTTTCAATCCATGTCTGGAGGGGGTAGTTGCTAGTGATGAATCAATCAAGAGTCTTCGGCAGGGTGAAGCGAGAGCTGATGAGTGTGCTCGCGCCGAAGCGGCGCTGGCGCTTGCGCCTTCAGGTCAGCTCTTTATCGCCTGGCCAGACCTTTGGGGAGTCCTCACTCCTGCAGAAGCCTCTCAGCTGAATGAGTTCAGGTGGAAGATGAAGCTACATAGCAAGGCCCCCAAAGAATCAATGGAGATGATCATAGCTAAGAGTTTTTTTGCAATGGTGTTGTTTGGTTGAACATCTAAACGAGTTGATATTGAACATCTAATCTAAACAATGCCCTCAGGGTTGATTGGGGCCAATCTTGGAATGGAGGCTGAGGACACCAAAAACAGATGCAGAACCTCGCAGAACCTCGCATGGGAGAGGGATAAAACGTAAGGGCCTGTCTGATCTGTCTGACCAAATGGTCATCTTTCTTCCACTCTATTCCCAGATCATTCGGAAGAAATGCTCCACAAACCTCAGGAGAACATGACTTCCCCATCTTTGGCGCCGGTGGGGCGCCGGTCGCACGGTCACACGGTCACCCAGGTGTCCTCACAGCTTCTCGGTGCTCGCGGCGCGAAAGACCGGCGTTTGGGCTGCGCCGAGCCAGCTCTTCCGAGAGGCCGGTTCTCGGGGAAAACCGACGGACTTTGGCAATTTTTTGGGTGTGGCGGCGCTGGTTGCGCCCTTGAGGCTAGATTTATCAAGCTGCACACGCGAACATGTGCAGTCTCGCAATCCGCATGTTTTTGACGTGCCCAACTGAAGAGAAAGGCGTGCGTTCTGTGTGTGGAACCAGATTCACAGATGGATGGCATAACAGAGCCACTTGAAATGATCAAGCTTGTCTTCCAATCTCGTTAGCATGGCTGGCAATGTGGATGACAGGATGACACTT